GATGAGCCGATGATGTGAGAGCTATGAGGGGGTGGGGGAGGGGTGTGGTGAGGGAGGGGGGGGAAGCGAGATGGGTGTAAGGCCCCTTCTAACTCCCAGAACCTGATTTAAAAAATCAGACTTGGCATGCTGCAAAGCAAAGGGGCCCATTCCCACAGCTAGTTTAACCCACTTTCCTCCTGTTTGTGAAGCAGCATGGCTGTATGTCAGCAAGTGCTATCAGTAAGCTAACAGCAGTACATGGAACATTTCTTGATAAGCATAAATCAGAGGGTGCAGTACTCCTTTTCAAGCAGAAGATAGGTAGCCCTTTGTCTGGGACACTTTAATTTGTATTTCTCCACAGAACAGCAGCTTGGGCTCAAGGGCCTCTTACAGATATACAAACTCCAGGACTGTAGGATCCAGTCTGGTACAGTATTTTTACTAAATCCCTGAGATTGGGTAGTATTTAATTAGAATTTCAAAAAGAGAGAAGGGTGCTGCTTAAATATATCCAGGGCTTTGCTTTTATTACTTGAAGTGAGTTCCTAGCCTTTTCGTGCAAAAATTCATTCCTGGCTTCTCCCCAGTTTTTCATTTTTTTCCAACACAGAAAAAAGACAGAGGGCTTCTTGTTGCTGGTACAATCAGTTACTTCTATTACATTGCTTCTGATGGAGCAATTTAAGAGGAAATGGTGTTTCCTAAATGCTTCCACAAGAACAAAGCAAATTTTGAAATAAAATATCTTCCTTCATCTGTACTTAGAGGAATATACACATCCATAACTCTTTAGACAGTTAATGATGCTGAAATTCCAGTTAGACTGACTGGAAAGTACAGTGTGTATCTGACATTACTTTGTTGTCCACATGCCTACTGATCATCACCATCTCTATTAATCCAGACTGAGTCATCAGTGAATTCTCAGTTCTTCAATGAGATCACCAATTTCTTCTTTCCTAATTCATGCATGTCATTTATTTGCATCTAAAGCACTAAATAATTACATATGTTTTGCTTTGAACATAACTTGCCAAAACATAATGGACACAAGTGCTTAAGGATGCTTTGTTTTATCTTCCGTGGAAACAGATGTCATTCAGTACCTGCATGAAAATGTCTGCAGACATCTTCCAATAAGAGATGGCTCCCTTTATTTAATTACACATGAAACAGGATTCTGAAATTATCACTTATATATTATTGCTAGTTAAAAGTGCTGTCTGTTTATATTTGAATTCATCTAGTTTCTCTCCTAGGTTATAGATGCCTATTATGAAAAGATTGCCTGCCCTAAATCAAATGGTGCTATTTTCTTTGCTGTATGCCGGGGAAAGGTATGTATTGTCCAAATTGAAATGTTGGGATGCATTGAACACCACAAGGTTAAAAGAAAAGAAAGCAATTCAACCAAACATGCCTGGGTTTATGGGTTTATAGTTAAATATAGAATAAACTGAACAGATCAGATGCAGCTGCTTTAAGAAGTTGACTCCTTATAGCAGGTGCATCTTTTTTCAGTCTTAAACAAAAGCCTGAAAAAAAAGCCCAGCTATTTTAAAAAGGTCCTGTGCTTATGCTCCAACGCATTCTGAAGCACCTCTTCTTTTTTCTTTTTTTTCGTCCAGTGGATCCTTTTTGTCCTTTATAAACACATTTTGTCCAAAAACAATTTCCAGCACTCCTGAAATAGTATGCTAACATTATGCATGGGATTTGTGAACAAACTGACAAGCTTATCATGGACTGAAAAACTCATTTTTCCTATCTTGTTTTGAGAAGCTGATAGAATGAATCACCGAGGTGATTGGCAGTTTCCCTTACTCATTCATTTTAGTAGGAACTCATTGGACAACATATAATTGGGCACCATATAATGTCCAGGAGAGGAAAACTGATTCTATAATTGTTAAGGAGTCATAGGAGAGTTAAATTCTGGCATTTTTGCACCACAGCTGAGGGGCAGTTGTCATCTTGTACCAAAGAGAGGTACACAAAACAAAAAATGTGTTTTGTTTCAAACCTGCAACAAACGCATCGCCTAACCATTCCCAATCAGCGTGGCACATCACATCAGCGCATCCCTCCACCCAGTCTTCCCAGTTTGCTCCCTGCTCTTGTCTCCTCTGCTGCTGCCACCAGTGTCCTTGGCTTTCTCCCACTGTCCTGTCCTCCCAGCACTTCTGACCTGAGCAGCCATGATTTAGTCTGTATCAGGAATAAGACACTATTGAAGCTAAACTTGCATGTTTCACTTTGGGCACAAACCTCTCAAGATCAGCTAGTTTGTGCAGGGAATGCTTTTTTTATTAGTTATTTTTCAATTCCTTGTGGTTGCCACTAGTTTTTTAATACAGTTCCTGGCCTAGTTCAAAATCCAGTATTGTAAAGCTCTAGACCGAGAGCAGTGTATATTCAAGCTATACAGTCAATGTACAGTCAGTGTGAACCTATGTTCTATAGCAGTGTTTTTCAACCTTGGCGACTATAAGATGTGTGGACCCAGAATTCCCCAGCCCACGTACTAGATGAACCTTTTCTAGAACAGTGTTTCTCAACCTCGGCCACTTTAAGATGCATGGACTTAACTCGCTGTGCTGGCTGGGGAATTCTGGGAGTAGAAGTCCCCGCATCTTAAAGTGGCTGAGGTTGAGAAACATCACTCTCTCATATGCATTGGAAGTCTTCCTCCCTTCTGATTCCCAACAGAGGGAAAGAAGGATAAAGGCTCAAAACAGTTGTTGACCCTTTTGGATGGCAGGGTTGCCTTGGTCTCTGCAGAACACCTTGAGTCCTTGAAAGTGGACAAAGGTAAGCTGCCGCACTATCTGTCTTCAAGGAAAAACTGAATACACGATACAGTATGAGGCAGCACCTTGATTCTTGCAGACATTTGTCCTTCATAGGGACCTGTGTTGACAAAACACATTATATGTCTTCAGGCTAGCGAAGGTTTGGACTTTGCTGATAAGAATGGACGAGGCGTCATCATCACAGGCCTTCCGTTCCCCCCTCGCATGGACCCCAGGATCATTTTAAAGATGCAGTTCTTGGATGAAATGAGGGCAAAAGATGTTGGTGGGCAGGTAAGGAGAGAGACATTGCTTTGATAGTAGAGATGTGCAAAACGTTTCAAGGGTGACATGTTCTGATTCCAAAACATTCCATCTTGACCTTGTAACAGGCTCGTTTGACTCCATCGGAAGTATCCTGCATGCTTTTTAGTTGTTAAGGTTAAATTGTGGTCATTCTTCTTGCCTTTTTTATGGATTTCCATCCTGATTTCTTGGGCTACAGGCATTGTTGCTAAATGTTTTCTAAACAGACTTAACTGAGCTCACAAACATGCTAACTTGCCATTGTTAATGTCAGGCCTAGCCCAAGGAACTCCAAGAGACCATGTAAATTCAGTCCAGCAATGTTTATTAGCTACCACCTCTAGCAAGAATCTTCCCAGCCTGAAACCCCAGCCCCCAAGTAAGGCCAGCCACAACATTGTGAATTCCTCAGGGAGGTGCCAGTCTCTTATCTCTCCCTCTCGCCTCAGGAGACGAAAGAAAATGTTTTTCTCCCCTAGTATGGCCTTCATAATTCCATTCCATCACAGTTAAACAAATGTGAAACAGAAATTCTTGTTTTCTCCTTCAAATACTATAGAAGCCTACCAGTAAATCCTGGTCTTCTCATCTGTCTCCAATTTAGAAGGAATGATGCACAGATCAAATACACGATGCTTCTTCATGCTACTAGATTTAACTGGGGAATTCATTTGGATAGCTGTTTAGGTAATTTCCCAGAACTGGGACTGCAGCTTGATCCCCTCTCCCCTGCTCTGACCAACTGCAGATTATGATACTGACCAGGATGTTATTGTAAGATGGGGCAGGGATAAAATTTTTATACCTATGTTTGGTCTTTTTCTGGTTTTTTTTTAAAGGCTGGGAATGAAAAAGAAAACACAATAATCTAAAACAGAGCTGTATTCTTTTCACCATATTTAGTATTTGTCTGGAAACAGCTGGTACAAACAGCAGGCTTCTCGTGCAGTGAACCAGGCTATTGGAAGAGTTATCCGACATCGGCAAGATTATGGTGCCATTTTCCTCTGCGACCATAGGTGACCTTCCCTTCCACTAGAATTTTGTACCATTAATGTTACTTCTTTTTTCACATCTAGTGAATATAGGGATCAATAATGTTTTTACTCAAGGGAAGAGCCATGTTGAAGATCCTTCTGTAGGGCAGATGAGGATGGAAAAAGGGATTTTGTGAAGAAGATTAGGAAGTGGTAGGAAAAGAATGGGAAACACATGCCTTCTCTTACCAAGCAAATTGGAAGCCTACATCTTCCACTTTCAAAAGCACTACACTCTGAAAATTTAGCAATGCTTAAAAGGAGCCAACTGAATAGACTCCATATCTGGGGTACTACGCCTAATGCCATTTTAATGCTTGAAGCTTTGCTTGCTCGTTTACTTTGCTTATGTACCACCAAATATAAATGGCTCACAACAGTTTATAATAATAATTATAAAACTTTAGTTATCCTGTGAATTCTCCTCTGTGCTTTAAACAGCTTTTGAATCTCTCCTAGGTTTGCCATTTCAGCTCTTGAAGTAAGAAAAGGCATAAGACAGTAGATTTACTCTTTTAAGATTTTTGTAATATTTTGTAAATACAGGTTTAAAAGTGCTTCCTTTTATCAATGGCAGTTGCATAGTGCAAAGCCCTCAGCTAATCCCACTACCTTTCTAGAATATTTTGGGAATATATCCTGAGGTTTGGAAATAATCTTTTTTGTCGGGGCTGACTACTAGTTTTTAATTCCCAACAGGTTCATGAATACTGATACAAGAGCCCAGTTGCCTTCCTGGGTCCGCCCTTACATTAAAATTTATGAAAACTTTGGACATGCAATCAGGGATGTTTCTCAATTCTTCCGTAGCGTACAACAGTGTGTAAGTATAAAACAACTACCTGTGGGGGAAAAAGTCTCCAACTTATCTGAGGCTATGTTACAAGTGGTATTTCAGACATTTAAAGAAGTTACCTGCAACTTCTTTTGGAATCTTGAGACAGTTTCAGGTCAGCATATACATACATACATACAGGTGGGAGCCTGTCACATCTGAGGGGGAGAGCATCCCAGGACAGGTTCTACCATACAGAAACCCTGACTTGGAATAGCCACTAGGTGGCCCTGGGCAGCTGTCGGCATACAGTATTCAGAAATAGAAAGATTTCTGTTTCTAAAAAACGAGAGGGAAAATTGCAAAGATCACACCAAATATCTGTCTGTTAAAATATACAGACCGTAGATTTCTGGACTGAACCCCTTTTCAGAGCTTCTTGAGCTCCTTGCCCCATCGCAGTTGCCAAAACTTACAGCAACCGCAAACTCCCCCCAGAATCCAGGGGAGAACAGAAAACCCTGGCTTAGCTAATGCGTGATGTAGCATCATCCATTTGGCATTGTTGTCCCCGTTACTGGCACCTTCCCCCAAAATATTAAGTGTGACTATTGGCCACTAAAGAATTGTCTCCCTCTACTGTGACGCTCCTCATTTCTGTGCAGATGCCACCTCCTGCTCCTTGTCTTCCCTCTTCTACCATCGCTGCAGAAGAAAATGATTCCCCATCTCCATCTTTTGTCCCACACAAGCAGTTCCCGGCTGGGGCAAAAGCCAACGTTCTGGATGATCACGTTCCTAGTCTGAAAAGGAAGCGAGTGGGTAAGTGAGTTCCTTTTCTTAACGTGTTAAAAGAGGGAACGTGTGTTTTTTGAAAACTTCTATATATCTTGTTATTAAGCTGCTCCTTCCTGAAGTATATTCTCGTCTTCTGATTCTTCTGGACTCTGGCAAAAGGACAGTTCTCCTTCTTCTCTCCACCAGGATTGATTCAGTGGCCAAAGCGGGGATGTGGCAGAATGTCTAAAAGGCACAGGCCAACCGAAAGAAGGCCAAGCCCAGAGCACCAGAGTATAAGATATGCCCCGTTCGACAAGAGAAACTCCCGTGACATGTGCGGTTCACAAAAGAGGTTTACTCAAGCGTAACGTAACAGTTACAAACAAAGCCAGGACTGGCTTGGCACATTTACATTGCTCATTTATACTTCTCCCCTTCCCGCGTTTTCGCCCCACAATCGCATCACCGCTGCGGATTATCAGCAACCCAATAATCCTCCTTAAGTGTCCAGAATGGCAGGTTCGGCCCAGGTCCCATTGTCCTTGATTGGTTGCCCCCTCCAGCATGGGTTGGTTCCCTTGGGGTCCTCCAGTTACATGCAAAACCCGAGGCTTCTGGATGACGCGGTGATCTCGCTTCGCTGCCCGCGGCCCCGCTCGTTGTTAGCTCACACCGCTTATTAATGTAAATTCAAAGCTTCCGCTTTGCGGTTTTCCCGTTTGGCTAGGCGCAGGTGGACCATTAATCAACCGTGCTTTCAGTTCCTCTTTTCCTCGGCTAGCAGCCGGTAGCGGAGTTAGCACGGCGTGGCGGCGAGCTTTCCTCGAAGCGCTGTGCCGGCCGAACCTGACATACCGCCCCCCTGAAAATAGACCCCCCTTTTTTTATTTTGGCTTCCCGGGGTATCTGTTGTAAAAGTCCCGCACTAGGTTCGGCACTTTTACATGGGCTTTGCTTACCCATTCACTGTGGGACTTGGGGAAATGTTTCCACTGCACCAGCAGCTAGACCTGTCCTTTGTGCCTCCTTGTGTCCAGTATCTGTTTAACCTCGAAGTGCTGCTCCCTGCCGACCATGATGGGTGCTGGTGCTGCCTCTGCCTTGTGCCAGGCATTCCCCAGCTGGTACAGCTTCAATAAGCTGCAGTGGAACACCGGGTGGATCTTCCCGAGGCTTTTGGAGAGTGTTAGCCTGACGCTTACCGGATTGATGATCTCCGCGATGGGAAACGGCCCCACGAACCTCGGGCTGAGCTTCTTTGAAGCCTGGTGCGTCTTCAGGTTTTTTGTCGATAAATACATCTGGTCCCCCACCTTCCACTGCCACTCGGGGGGCCTCTTGCAGTCCACGTATTTTTTGTATTCGGCTTTGGCTCCTTGCAGCACCGCGTGCGCCGCCTGCCTCGTGGCGTCTATTTGGGCAAACCAGGAGTCCAAAGAGTCTATTCGGGATGCCGGCTGAGGCAATTCCGGCATGGGAACAAAGTCTCACCTGGTGGCCACTTTGAATGGGGAGAAGCCGGTGCTTTTGTGGACAGTGTTGTTGTAGGCTACTTCCGCGAACGGCAGTAGCTCCGCCCAATCATCCTGCTGGTGCCCCACGTAGCACTGCAGGTACTGCTCAAGCCCCCCGTTCAGGCATTCCGTGGCTCCGTCCGTCTGCAGGTGCGCCGCGGAGGAAAGGGCTTGCTGCGTTCCTACCCGCTTCAGGAACTCCCTCCAGAACCGCGCGATGAAGTTGCCGCCCCGATCACTGACGATCCGTCAGGCCGCGCCGTGCAGCCGGTAGATGTGCTGCACGAACAGCCTCGCCAACCTTTCTGCCGTGGGGATTTGCCGGCAAGCTACAAAGTACGCTTGTTTGGAGAACAAGTCCGTGATTACCCAAATGGCGGTCTTCCCCTTGCTCTCCGGTAGCTCCACTATGAAATCCATGGCGATCTCTTGCCATGGGCCATTGGGGTCCGCCACCGACTGGAGTAGCCCCCTAGGCTTGCCTTTGCCCCCCTTCGCCGTTGCGCACACTGGGCAACTCCCCGAGTATGCTTCCACGTCCTTCCGGAGCGTTGGCCACCAGAACTGCCGCCGAATTAAATGGAGCGTTTTCACGAAGCCGTAATGCCCCGCGCTCCGGCTGTCATGGGCTCTTTCCATAACCCCCCGCCGGCACTCTTTGGGCACGTACAGCTTCCCCTCATGCCACCACAAATCCCCTTGGCTGGTTAACGCGTCCCGGTTTTGCTTGAGCCAGGTGTCCCACTCCGCCGCTTCCACAAACCTCTGCTTTACCTCAGGCGCCGCGTCCTGCAGCTCTCTCTTGGTCTGGCTCCCAGTGACAGCCTTTGCAGCCAGCCTGCCGGTGGGGATGATGAAGTCCACGATTTCCTCTCGCAGGCTGGCGTGCTGGGGCATGCAAGACAGCCCGTCTGCCAGGAAATTCCTCTTCCTGGGGATGTGTTTTAGGGTGAAGTTGAATCTCCCAAAGTATTGGGACCAATGCGCCTGTTTGGGGGATAGCCTCCGCGGGGCTTTTAGGGCCTCGAGGTTCTTGTGGTCCGTCCACACCTCGAACGGCTCGGCTGCCCCCTCCAATAAGTGCCTCCACGTGGCTAGGGCCCACTTGACCGCATATGCCTCTTTTTTCCACTCCAATCACCCTATCTTCAACTCCGTGGAGATGCGGGAG